CGCCGTGACTACTGTTTTCATGTAAACGCTTATAAACATTTGACTGCAAAAGGGTTACCCGCCGCGGTGATTCAACCCGGGGTAAAAAGCAACCTGGGGTCGTGTAAAGAGGGCCTCCGAGTGGGGCGCAGCGCGAAAAACGCCGTGCCATAAAGTAGGGGAGAAACGCGGCGAGAGAAAGCGCTTCTCCCATATTTTTCGCTCGCCGTTTTTCGCGCTGAGCCCCAACTAACTGAACGCCTGGAAGAGGCTTAACTTATTCCTAGTGTTTCAATTATTTTCGGTGTTCCCCGTGTTTCAATTATTTTCAGACCCAAATCATTTTCACGGCGTGAATAGCATCTTTTAGGAATTTTTTTCTTTTTTTTTTTGCGTTAACAGCCTTCATGTAGTGCGCACCAACCTTACTTTATTTCTAAATTGAAATCAGTAATTTTCGACCGGAGAACATATTAAATTCCAACAGAAAAAAATACATGGCCGCAGTTGCGGCAAGTGGAATTGGCGAGACAAGCGTCGCTGCCAGTTAACTGGCTTTTTTGGGAAAATACTTTCGAATTTGTTTTCTCAAAGTGCAACTACCTGTGTATTTATTTGTTTCTTTATTTGTCAATGCACAATTTTTTATCTTACTATTTTTCAGCGCTGAAAAATTTTTCAAGGTTTTAGTTTGAATTTCATCAATCAATTACGAGAACTTTAGAACGCGCAATTGACAAGTCGTTGAATGGTTCGAGGGTTAATTCAAACGAGCAGTTTTTTTTTGGAAAGCAAAGCTTGAGTTTGTTTCGAGGCAACACGGCTTTCCAAGGAAACAGAAAGTGTAATTTCTCACATTTTCTAGACATGGTCAAAACTGGACTGTTCTTTACTTTTTTCCTAAAAGTGAACTGCTAACTATTAAAATCGTTAGTTAAATATACCATTTGGACTGAATGAAATATGCGCGATATGAACAGTCCACCTCAGGCGGTGTGAATTTTCTAATAATTATTATTTTTATTTCTTAATTTTCTATTTCTAGTTTATTTACATATTTCATTATTCTTTTAATTCACTTTTAAATTTTTTTTATTTCTATTTTGTTAATTTCTTTTTCTTTTTTTTTTTTAAATTTTTTTTGAATATTTTTTTTTAGACTCCGCACTCCGCACTCCTCGTTTTCGGAACAGCCGAAATGATTTGCCAAATAGCGCTAGTCACACGTGTCATGGGAGTGTAGGCGGATTGTGCTACTCGTGCTTCTATCTGGTGATCTACAATCTTGGTCAATTTAAATGAAAAATTAAGACCACCCCCACTCCGCCCCCTCTTCCCCCGCCCCCATTTCAATGGAGGAAAAAAATTTATTATTTGCTGCGGTTCGAAGAATAGCAGCAAATCGTTGTTTTCACAGTTCGTCGGTTTTTTGACATTTTCCATGGCGACGCAAGTGCTATAAGGGCGGGATTCTGCTGATATGAGCCATTCTATGCTGACGTCGACAGTGCAGCAGTCAGTTCCCCTATTTAACAAGTGACAAGTTGTGTTTTTATTTGTTGTCTATTAGAGGGAATAGGGGAAACGTGCGGTTTGGTCGTAGCGCCAGCTCGTTATTGACTCGGGGGGAGGAGTGGTTTTATTTCTTATTTTATTTTGACCAAGAGTATAGTGTCCACATGCGGCAGATGATGGTGGATGTACCGTAAAATGATATTACCGTGAAATTCGAGAATCATTGGTGAAACCTTCACCCGGCTAGCTCACATACGATTACTACTAATTTCATCCATTGTTAAAATATGCCGATGACTGTAATGAATTAATTAGTATTGATGTCGCATGATCTTTTTCACGGCTTTCATCGGCTTTTTCAAGGCTAGAAATGTAAATATGCACAATGGGGTGTGTAGAAGCTGATGCCAAACTGACTTTTTCATCCAGGCACTAAGTACAATTCGAGCCGAGTAGTTTAGCTCAGCTTTCGATTCACGAGAAATTTCTGGGCGAGAAGTTGATTCATTGCCACTAAACATTGTCTTTTTGTCATTAAACCAGCTCGAAACATTATAACCCCTCCCCCTTCCCTCAAAAGTAATAAATAATCAAATAATAAATAATACCAAGGTAACAGAATATAAATAAATCATGATAATGAAAATAGACTAAAAAACGAGAAATACCCCTTCTAGTAGTAGTGGATGTTATGTGTATAGCTGGTTTTCACATGACGTCACCAAAATTCGAACTACAAAACTATTAATTTTCCTGAGATTTTACTTGAATGATGTATAAGAGCAGCTGAAAACTAATATTCATA